GGGGGGGGGGGGGGGGGGGGGGTGGCACCGAAGAGAAAAGGGTTGAGTAAACAAAATTTTGAGTGAGTAAAAGGTTGGGTAAATGAAAAACAAAACAACTCAAGGGTTGGGTAATAAAAATTTATTGTCATTTCCAAAGCATGACTCACTCAAATATTGAAGACTAAAAAGCAATGTCAACAGTCATATGTCAATACAATATGTAAATCAATCAATCAATCAGAGTCACTATCTTGATCATTTTCCGATTTGTCAGGAGGCAAATGGTGTCTCCAAAGAAAGTACATGTGCAGACAACATGAAACTTTAGACTGCAGAAAATTGCACAAGCAGTTATCAAACTCATGTCACAGAAGTGGTAAAGGACATGTGTGACAACTGAATGGTATCCTTTTGTAAAGTTTTTGGCCAGGGGTGGGTATGTATTTTGTGATTGATATTTGAGATCGTGAAATTTTTTTCTTTTACTTTTTAATGGTTGGATCCGCAAACATTTTTGCGAAGAGAAACATTTCTCTTCGGTGCCCCTCCCCCTTCCCCCCCATAAATAATGACCGAGCCCTAAGTACATGTTAGAACACCATCATACTATAACGCTAATAATTTTGGCTATTTTAAAAATCTATATTTCAGCTTCAATTTGAAGACGATCTTCGTATCTCGAAGATGTTTTCGTCCGATGGTGAAGGGGTTCCTTTCTCCGAGGAGATGTATCCCCGGGGTAATGTGGAGGACTGGTTATTGGAGGTGGAGAGAGTCATGCAAGCTAGCTTGAAGAGCATCCTTCATCGGGCTATTGTTGCCTACGAACAGGTAGGACATTGGTGTTGAGATGTTGATGGGCAGTGGATCAATAGATGATTATCCTTACTGGACCTCTAGGGAGAACTCGCTGATAGAACTATCCAGTATAAATAAAATTAGTTTAGTTTAGGTTTCCTCCTGTAGTAACACTGGATCAATAAGAGATGATCCTTACTGGACCTCTAGGAAGAACAGTTTAGAACTGATAGAGCTATTCAGTATAAATAAAATTAGTTTAGTTTAGGTTTCCTGCTGTAGTAACACTGGATCAATAAGAGATGATCCTTACTGGACCTCTAGGAAGAACAGTTTAGAACTGATAGAGCTATCCAGCATAAATAAAGTTAGTTTAGTTTAGGTTTCCTCCTGTAGTAACACTGAATCAATAAGAGATGATCCTTACTGGACCTCTAGGAAGAACAGTTTAGAACTGATAGAGCTATCCAGTATAAATAAAGTTAGTTTAGTTTAGGTTTCCTCCTGTAGTAACACTGGATCAATAAGAGATGATCCTTACTGGACTTCTAGGGAGAACAGTTTAGAACTGATAGAGTTATCCAGTATAAATAAAGTTAGTTTAGTTTAGGTTTCCTCCTGTAGTAACACTGAATCAATAAGAGATGATCCTTACTGGACCTCTAGGAAGAACAGTTTAGAACTGATAGAGCTATTCAGTATAAATAAAGTTAGTTTAGTTTAGGTTTCCTTCTGTAGTAACACTGGATCAATAAGAGATGATCCTTACTGGACCTCTAGGAAGAACAGTTTAGAACTGATAGAGTTATCCAGTATAAATAAAGTTAGTTGTGCTTATACATGTGCACATGTTTAATCTTTCAGATGATGTGAAACCTCGTAAGTGGAAGAAACCATTTCTGCCACACGAAGGCTATGGTCACGGACATGGTCATCATGTAAGTTGAGTGTTTATTCTTCATTATCCATGATCATCCATCATCATTCATTATTATCCTTTGTCATCATCCATGTTCATCCATAATTTTTAATAATCCATGATCATTCATCATCATCCGTGATCATCGATGATAATTTGACTTTTTTTGAATTCTCTGCCAGGGTCACCATCACGGCAAAAGCTTTTGCTCGCGATTCCACAAACTACCTTTCGGAGCCCGAGTTGCTATCTTGGTCGGTGTCGTGTTCGTCGTGTTAGCCTCTGTGGTATGTTGTGCCATGTGTTGTTGTCGCAAGAGCAAGAAAGCTTACGAAATAAGCAAAGGTGACGAGTTTAAGGCTGAATTTGAGATGGAGGACGAAGAAGCTGAAGCCTTGCCAGAGAAATTGGCATTTGATGACAAGGAAGTCCTGATTGCTTGATTTGGACATCTTGCTATTGTCATTTAGCTTGATTCTAATGTATAAGCCTTAGTATTTGTTGTAGTCTTAATATTAAATATTAAAACCAATCTTACTTTATACTGTAATAATATGTAATTGCACTTGATTGCCAAGCCTACAATATATATTTGTTGTGGTGCTAAACATGTAATATCTTTTAATTGTATTTGATTGTTTATAGTGTAATATTAATATACTCTCATTACATAACTGTTTTCAAACGATTGTCTTTTATTAACTTAGTAGCTAAATGCCTATTTAATATTTATGTAACTTCCTCTTGTAGTAACACTGGATCAATAAGAGATGATCCTTACTGAACCTCTAGGAAGAACAGTTTAGAACTGATAGAGCTATCCAGTATAAATAAAGTTAGTTTAGTTTAGACTTCAAAGATTTGGATTCTTGCCCTTCACTTGGTGGAATTAATATTAGAATGTTTTTTTACAAACCCTAACATTCTAATATTAGTTTAGTTTAAGTTTCCTCCTGTACTAACACTGGATCAATAAGAGATGATCCTTACTGGACTTCTAGGAAGAACAGTTTAGAACTGATAGAGCTATCCAGTATAAATAAAGTTAGTTTAGTTTAGACTTCAAAGATTTGGATTCTTGCCCTTCACTTGGTGGAATTAATATTAGAATGTTTTTTTACAAACCCTAACATTCTAATATTAGTTTAGTTTAGGTTTCCACCTGTAGTAACACTGGATCAATAAGAGATGATCCTTACTGGACCTCTAGGAAGAACAGTTTAAAACTGATAGAGCTATCCAGTATAAATAAAGTTAGTTTAGTTTAGGTTTCCTCCTGTAGTAACACTGGATCAATAAGAGATGATCCTTACTGGACCTCTAGGAAGAACAGCTTAGAACTGATAGAGCTATCCAGTATAAATAAAGTTAGTTTAGTTTAGGTTTCCTCCTGTAGTAACACTGGATCAATAAGAGATGATCCTTACTGGACCTCTAGGAAGAACAGTTTAGAACTGATAGAGCCATCCAGTATAAATAAAGTTAGTTTAGTTTAGGTTTCCTCCTGTAGCAACACTGGATCAATAAGAGATGATCCTTACTGGACCTCTAGGAAGAACAGTTTAGAACTGATAGAGC